CTTCCTTCCTTCCTTCCTTCCTTCCTTCCTTCCTTCCTTCCTTCCTTTCTTTCTTTCTTTCTTTCTTTCTTTCTTTCTTTCTTTCTTTCTTTCTCTTTCTTTTCTTTCTTTATTTTTGTCCCTCCCTTCTTCCTTCTTCCTGTTTTCCTTTTTTCCTCTCTCCTCCTCCCCTTCTTTCACTTTTTATTTTTCCTCTTACTTTCTTTCTCCTTCCCCTTCCTCTCCCTTCCATTCCTCCCCCCTTTAATCATTTTTTATATATTGGCTCCTTCTCTGATGCCTACAAACATACTTAGGTCTTCCCTTTAAAACAATCACAGCAAATTGAAGCTACCATCCCTTACAGCTATTTTCTGATATTTTTCTTGCCTTTCATTGCCAAATTTAGAGAGAGAGAGGAAGAGAGAGAGAGAGAGACAGAGAGATATGCATTTAGTGGTTTCACTTCCCCATTTCTCCCTCCCTTTCTTCTTTTCTTTCTCTCTGCCTTCCCTCCTTCCTTCCTTTGCTCTCCTCTCCTACCTTTTCCTTCCTTCCTTCCTTCCTTCTTTCTTTTCTTCTTTCTTTCTTTATGTCTTTCTTTCTTTCTTTCTTTTGTTCTTTCTTTCTTTCTTTCTTTTGTTCTTTCTTTCTTTCTTTCTTTCTTTCTTTCTTTCTTTTCTCCTTCCTTCCCTCCCTCTTTTTTATTATATTACATCTTGATATACTGGGCTGAGACAGAAGAATAAAAGAGCGTTCCTGCCCTAAAAAAGTTCTCTATCTTATAGGTGAAATTGTACAGTAATCCCAAACAATTAGAGAGCCAGGATCATGTGATAACTTCTTTGAGAAGAGCAAACATGGTGACATTGAAATCTGAAGAGGTAGAGATCAATTTAGGCTGCCTGTGAGTGGGGAAAAAGAATGAGGGAGGGTGGGAAAGGAGGAAAGACAGATTTTAGGGAGAGGGTGAAGAAAGGCTAGCATGGAGATGTGACAGTGTGGGGGATGTACTGGGGAAGATAAAGTGGTCTCCTTGAGTCAGAAGGCACTAGAGGGAGAGAAGGCTGGCATCAGATTGTGAAGGCCCTTGAACTCCAGGCTGAAGAGTTTGGACTTTATCCTGTGGCAGTCATAGAGATAATGACAATCACCATCAAAATAACAACAATGATATTAGGACCTACAATTTCACTGACAATAGGAGCACCCAGATAGGGAAACTTCTTCTATAAAGGCGAGTCTTCTCATACTTCTTACCCTCCCCTCAATGTACTCTGTGATCCAGGTACACACTGGCCTCCTTGTTTTTCACACACAGCCTCCTGAATCCATGTCTGGGACTCTTTCTTCCTCCTCACCTCAGACTCAGAGCTCCCCTCGATCCCTTCAAGGCTTCGATCCAATCCTGCCTTCTGCAGGATGCCTTCCCTCTTACATCTGTCTCTCCAACCCCCACAACACTCTGCTAGTCCCTTCTCTCTATGATTTCCTTCCATTTTGACTGTATATATTATTATAATATAATTATTTATATGTTATTCTCATTAAAATGGGAGGAACTTGAGGGTGGTAACTTTTTTTCTCCCTTTCATTGTATACCTAGTGCTTAGCACAGTGCCTGGAACATGGTGAGCACTTAATAAATGTTTGCTGACTGATTGACAGAAGGAGAAAACAGCATTTGTTTTTCAGAAATCTCCCTGTCTTTTTTTTACATTTTTTTTATTTTGAGGCAATCGGGGTTAAGTGACTTGCCCAGGGTCACACAGCTAATAAGGGTTAAGTGTTTAATCTGAGGCCATATTTGAACTCAGATCCTCCTGACTTCAGAGCCAGTGCTCTAGCCACTGTGCCACCTAGCTGCCCTGAAATCTCCCTGTCTTAAGCTTCAAAGGGCCCCCTCATTTCAGCATACGGATTCTGGGGAATCTGTTTTATAGAAAGTCCAGATTCTTTAGCTTGTCATTCATAGCCTTTTACTATCTTGTTCCAACCTATATATTTTGACATATCATCTTTCCCACATGGACATTTTGTGGTTTTAAAGCAGGATTGTGTGATGGAAGGCTCACTGTGCTTGGTGTCTGGAGGTCTGAGTTCAAGTCCCAGGTCTGGCCCTATTTAACTAGCTTTACCTGCTATCTACTTTCCCACCATCTTAGATGCTGCCCATGCACTCGCACATATACACAGTGGTTTTGACAAAAGATGGACTGGTCTGACCAGCGTACACAGACAATGGGGGTAGTGCAAGACTGAATTAAATACCATGAGGGGTTTGAATTAGGTGGTCCCTTGAGATCTCTTCTAGCACTAAATCCACAATGCTACTCTTTTCCTAAACTAGGTATGGTTGGATCCCCAGAGATAGCATGGTGTAGGAGAAAGAGAGCAGAATCTGGAGTCAAAAACCTGGATTCCAATCTTAGTGCTGCTACTTATGAGTTGTATGACGTGGGACTAATTATTGAGTCTGGCCTTGCCTCACTTTCTTTAGCTGTAAAATGAAAAGTTTGGGCTAAGTGATCTCTAAGGTCCCTTCTAGTTGCAAATCCTTGATTCCTATATTTATTCTCTAGTATGCAGCCTCAGGTGTATTTTTCCATTCCCACATCTATTACTGACATCTTTCCTCTTATTGAGGGCTCATCATTCCCTCAGTCTGTCCTTATATTTCTTTTCTCATCATTTCAATGATTCTCTTTTTCAAGTTATTGGTCTTCTGAAGGACCCCACATGGAAGGCAGTTGGGAGTCACACCTGGAAGATGGCGATCCAGGCGTAGCCAATGTTGTCGAAGTTGATGGCTCCATTGTGCGGGTTGAAGTCACCTGTCCTGCACACGTTGTAGTATTGGTTCCAGTTGATGCAGGAGTTTCGGCCACCACCATCGGGATTCTCCAAGGAGCGGCTGTAAGCCTCCAGGCCTAGTGTACACTCTACTCGTAGCTCCCGGCGGATGGGGATGTGTGAACACTTCTGCATGCCATTGTCACGGTGTGAAGAGCAAATGAAAGGGTTCTCCTCACCTTCATCCGTCTGGTAATAGGGGTTCAGGAAGGTCAGGTTGTTATTCCTGTGGTCAGAGAGAAAACAAGGTTGGGGGAATTGTTAAAAGGTATACAATAACTTTAATAGTGGAAAAGAGAATGAGAAAAATGGTAGCTCAGTTGTAGAGTGCACAATAATCCTGTGATTTAGGTAGTGATGACATGTAGGGCTAATCAGGTGATTATTCATTACTAATAACAATAGTGAATGTTCATAAAAGTTATTTAAGTTTACAAAAAATTTTATATATGCATATGCTATATTATGTTACGTTATGTTATATTATGCTATGTTATGTTATGTTATATTATATATTATATTATATTATGCTATATCATATCATACTATATTATATGGTATACAATACGTATTATATAATATATTATATATAACAATATTATGTTATATCATATATTATACTATATGTATTATCTGAATAGACATTAGATATGTGCATATATGTGTATATTCTCCTTTGAGCCTCTCACAACACTGTAAGGTAGTACAACCATCATCATTTTACAGATAAGGAAACTGAGGCTCATAAAAAGGAAATGATTTGCCCAAGCTCACCAAGCTAACAAGAATATGGAGCAGTTTGCAAACCTTAAATGTGAACGACTGCTATTATTAAAGTAATTATGAAGATAATGATAAACCATTCTATAAGTATTTATCAAGCACGTACTACGTACCAGATGCTTTGGTTACAAAGACAAAAGGTACAACAGTCTCTGTTCTCAAAGAATTTACCTTCTACTGGTGGAGACAACACGTATGTATGTAGGTAAGGATAAATATATACCAAAAAGGCACAAGGTGATTGGGGCGTGTGGGGAAGGGGAAGGCCCCTAACCACTGAGGGTATCAGGAAAGGCTTCATATAGAAGGTGGTGCTCAAGTAGAATTTCAAAAGAAATTAAAGATTTGAAGAGGCAGAGGTAAGAGGAGGAAGATGAAGATGAAGATGATGACTCCGAGTCCCTTCATCTGCTGTGCAGTGCTAATCACAGGATGATACTTTCAACATGTGTTATTCTTCCCTGTCTTTTGCCCCTTATCCCTTCACTTGCCAATGCCTACGTTGTTGGCCATGCTGAATGCCCCACTTCCTTCCCCAGCTCTTCCAATTTTGCCACACTGAAAACTCCAACTGGGTGTGAGTCTGACCTGGAAGAAAAGCAACATCAAATAATAGTAGTTCCAGAAAATCTTAACTCATCCTGAAGGCAAGGCTTGGAGAAGCTGGGCAGGTTTTCCTAGAAGGGGATTTTCAGGTTAGTGGTCCACGAAAAAGTCAGGCCAAGATCTGAGACAAGGGATTAGAGTTGCCTGTCCCTGGAATCGTGAACCAAGATTCAGGAGCTGGAGACAGATCTGAGGCAGGGAAAGATTAGACAGGCTGAATTCCATGGCCTTCTGGGTAATGGACCTCCATTTCTGCTCCCTGGAGACCATCCAGAGCTTAGGGCGTAGGCTGGCACAAGTATCCATAGTGGCCCTGATCTTGCCTCCTGTCTGTTGCTTAAGGTCAAGAATTATCAAGTTCATCATTAATGAGCATTTATTAATCACTTCCTATGTTCCAGATACTAGGTGAAGTGTTGGGATTACAAAGAAAGGCAAAAACATAGTCAACCTAGAAGGGAACCTTAGAAATCCTTTCTTAGGCAAGGTCCATGAACTTCAGATGGCAGAATTCTGTCCTTCTAGGGAACAGAGAAATCTCAAGGGAGCAAGAGGGAAGGATACACCAAGCTCTAGATCCCTCCTCAGTTGAGTCCCCATTCACTTGGAAGAGCCCCTTTGCAGAGAAATCTCATTAACTTGCATCTGAAATCTCTCCAGCTACTGCACAGAATCAGATTAAGGCTTATGTTTCAGCATTGTCCCTATATCCTGGCATTACCAAGTGACTATGCTTGTTCGAAGCTTGAACGCACACACACACACACACACACACACACACATCATTAAACATCTTCAAGGGCCAGATGAGGAGAACACGTTACTAGGTTATGGCCTCTGAGTGGCAGCCCACCAGCCTCCCCCACAGCCTTCAGGTGACCTATATTCCTTCCCTGGAGATGGAAGAGCTGAGCAGAGATGGGGCTGGCCATCCATTTAGCTACCAGCCATTACCTTCACAACCACTTAGCAAAACATGCAGAAGTGCTTCAAATGTTCCCTTCCCCCCAACACCATCTATACACCTCAACACAGATACAGGGTGGGGCTGTAAGTTTAAATTTGGAGCTCTTAGTCACTAGAGAGCAGCTGTGATCATTGCTGGGATGCTGAGGGTAAGCACATGGGTGGACGTACCTGGTCAATCACGCTGGGAGCCAGGGCCTGGAGAGGAGGAAGCACCCCTAGGGACAGTGGGACACCTAAGGCCCCTAGATCTCCTCCTTTTTGGGTTCTGTTTCCTGGATCTACCTGTTTTAGCCTATGAAGCTGTGGCAAGGACACCCCCTGTATTGCCTGACCCAGAACTCGCTGATTGTGGCTTGCTCACTAAGTTCTGTGCTCCTCACTTTGCCTCCTGACTGTGAACTTTCTGCCCTTGAGATCCTGATCTGAAGTCTCTGAGGATAGCCTGGTGACCTGACCCTAACTCCTTTCACTTCTCTTGTTAAGTGATTTGGGATTGATGTTTATGATCATGGACTGTACCAGAGTGAATTTATAGAACGAGTCTAAATCCCTGCCCCTGAAAAATAGTAATAACAACAATGCACATTTATATAGTGCTTGATGGTTTGCAGAAAGCTTTCCTGAAAACTACCTTGTGATATAGGTAATGCTGCTATCATTGCTCCCATTTTACAGATGAGGAAACTGAGGCCAAGAGACTTTAAATGATCCTCTAGTTAAGTTTTGGATCCAGGATTACTGGTTCTCAGTCTAGTGTTCCATACCTTGCTGCCTCTTGTAGTTTGCCTAGTAGAATTATGCTCCTTGTGGGAAATTCCTTTGCCTTCAAATATGAGGATCCAAAGATCCATGATAGGACAGGAGTCAGAAGGTAGTGTCAAGGATGAAACTATCAATGGGTTTGTGCCACCCAGCCATCATTCACCAATCCTCCAGCCTTCTCTGTGCCTATGATATTGCCATCTCACAGCCTGATGCCCAAGAGTTTTCTGAGGACATACATCACAAAGAGGAGCCCAGGTCCGCACAGGGAAAGCCCCTCAAGAACCCCAGGCCTCCTTAGCTATGTGGTTCTGTCATTAAAAAGTCTTGATGGATTCTTTCTTTTCCTTCTTTCCACACTAGTTCAGAGATTCTGGTCCCCTCTTGGACCGATATTTTTGTGATGATAAATTGGGCCATCTTTTGTCTCAATTCTTACCTAGTCCTTAGTCATTGAATGGGCGATGCCTCAGAGAAACTGAGACCTGGGAAAGACATTAATTTAGAAAGGCCACCATCACCTACTGCATCCTGGGCCATCTCTGTGGTCATTTTGACTTTTGCCTTGCCACTGGACTTTGATGCCTCTGGAAGACACATTAAGGCTAACGACTTTGCACATCTTTGCCTCACTTAAATCCAATTCACTCACAAGTCAAGACATCACTCTATGATGTCATTGGTCCTCTTTGAAAATGAAAGTCAAACAACATCAAGAGGTTCTGGCTCTCCCCAGCCCTCTTGCCTTTCTGCAGACACCCTCACAGTGACCCGCCTTAGGGCTGTGACCCATACATGCTGCTCACCAGTCCCAGAACTTAGTTGTCCTGGATTCCTTAAGATGACAGCAAGTGATATGGTGGTGGCATGATGGACTTAAGAGTTCTCCTCCAATCCGTTAACCAACTACATTCAGTAGATGCTACTGAATTCAGAGGCACAGAGCCTGAATTTGCATACCAGCTCTATCACTTACTATCTATGGGACCTCAGTGAAGTCATTCAACTGCTCTGAGCTTGGTTCCTCATCTGTTAAATGGGGGGGGTTGTAATATGGACTCTACAATCCTTTCTGGTTCTTGGTCTGTGTATAGCTCTATGATACTTGTTCAAGAGAGAAGATTTCAGAATTCTTTTGATTAATGTTGGTATCAGCAGATGTTTAACTTTTTCAGTTTATATTACTATTGTTTGAGGATATTAACTTGGTAGTCTTTTTTATCCATTACCACCTACAGAATGTGAAAATTATTATGATCAATAATTAATATTCAATAGAATTGAATAGTAAACAATATGGCAAAATGTAACATATTAAAGAATGTATCATAATATATTGATAATATTATACCAGCACTTTATATCTGTAATGCCTTACAGATTCTAAAGCACTTTACATACATATGTCTTTGGCTTCTCAAACACATCACCATCAAAATACAAGTGAAGTATTATTACTCCTTTTTTGTTGTTCAGGTGTTTTCAGTCATATCTGACTCTTCATAACCCTATTTGGGGCTTTCTTGGCAAAGATATTGGAGTGGTTTGCCATTTCCTTCTCCAGTTCATTTTACAGATGAGGAAACTGAGGCAAACAGTTAAATGACTTCTTCAGAGTCACACGACTAGTAAGTATCTGAGACTGGATTTGAACTCATGAACATGTGTCTTCCTGACTCCAGGTCGCAGAGTAAGGGCCTAGCTACCCATTAGCATAGGCGGTAAGTGGCAGAGAAGGGGGGTTCAACCTGAGCTACTGTGACTCTAAGATCATCCCTGAGTGTTCAGTATCATGCAGTTTGAATGCACTTTTTTGGAGTTTGGATCAAATGTCCAAAACAGAACTTACTGTCTTACCTTCCCTACCTGAACTGGTCCTTCTTCCAACCTTCGCCATTTTGTTTGAAGTGTTATTTATTCACTTTCTTAGTCAGCTATGTTTGTAAACTTGGAGTTGTCTTGGACTGTTCCCTCTTAGTTACACACACACACATGCACACACACACATGCACACACACAGGTATGTATGCATGTATGCACACATGTTTGTCTATGCACAAAGGTATACACCCATATATGTGTACATGCGAACACACATATATGTAT